TTTTTGCATCATGATGCAGTACTAGGAAAACATTATCAGGATATACATTTACTAGGCACGAATTTTGATAAAAGACAATTATTTGATCTTCTAAAGTTAGAAATAATACTCAGAATCACTCTAAGAATTCTCTAGGTTAGAACAAACTAATGTCAAGGCAAAGAAGAAAAGGGCATTATAAACAAAGGTAGCACTATGAGCTAGCCACGGAAAAAGGGAACACAAGCAAATAACTTATATTAAAAATAAATTCAAAAGCCAAGAGAAAAAGGTCACTAATACAAGACTTCTAAATTCTAGAGGGTCAATAACTATCCGAACATAGCGAAAAAATATGAAATTTGTCTTTCAAGGATGCTCTCATGAAGATAGGAAAAGTTTTATTTGGTTCTCAAAATCACCATGCAACCACTGCACCTCATCCCAAACCCCAAACAGCCATCTTTAAAATCGTCCACTTATGGGCCTCTTGCACTTCCACAAGCCCACGACAAGACCCACCTAAAGCAACGCCTCCACAACCTTCAAATAGTTGTCACTCTTCACGTTGGCATTGCTAGCATATTGGGCAATGCATGCCACATAGGTCCCTAATTTCCTATCTTTGGTGTTATGTTAAATGACTAGAAAATACTATATTTCTATTAAGCGTATTTAATTATGGCTAAGAAAAAATCTATAACATGGTTTTAGCAATCATCACACACACTACAACATTTTATCTTTTCTGAAAATGTAATTTTTACAAGGTAGTACAGTCAAAACGGCCTAGGATTCGGCCCGTAAAACCATCAATATGAACAGACATGGGCATAATTTTTCCCAGCCCGTATAAATTTCGATTGAACTGTTTGGTCCATGGGTGCAGGCTGGACTGGCCAGTATGATAGTGCTACAAGGAGTGGACACTGATTGAAAGAATGGAACAAGCAGGCCAGAGCATCTAGATAAAGAATAACAGATTATGGTAACTACAACAGAGGAAAAACATTGCATCAAAGAATTTTCTATGAGAAACTGTGAAAGCAGATTTGTCGACAATGACACATCTTCTAATGTAGTTTTTTTTTTCTCAAAAAAGGAATTTAGGCCACAAGAATAGCATGTTAAACATCAACTTCCATATTTCTCTTTCTTTCTGCCAGTCAATCTGTCAAAACTAGTCAATGCCTTGGAGGTACCACAAAATAATAGTCATCCAGTCAAACCTTCATACAAATCTAAGACAACCCGCGATATTCAGAGTTTAAATCATGATTACACTCGTCAATGTAAACATGATGCAACACAATATTTTTTACCAATGAACCACCAAATCTTATCAGCACTTCTAAAACCCTTCTCAAGCAAGAACCAAAGTTCTTAAAATAATAAAAGACTCAAACACCACAAAGCACTTAACTCTTTTAATGTTAATTCATGGCATAATCATAAAGGCACCTGATTCTGAGATACAGCATTCAATAATGTCTCCTTCGCTTTATATGCAGGAAGACTTCTTCGAAACTTTAGCATCCCCTGGCCTTCTGAAGTTTCCTACAAATTGGTAGTCAAAATAAATTATTACGCCCTAAAATGATTTCAAGTGCATCAGTTAACAATTTCAATCAAACAGTGTTTGCTTACAATCAATAGAGTCTATTATGCTGACATACAACAATGATGATTTCTAAATTCTAATACATAGGCATGGGTAGAACTTATCCCAAAAGCTAGCTCAAAGGGAGATGGTGCTCAACCAACACTTATAAACAATAATAGCCTAGTAACCAATCGATGTCGGACAAACGTAACTTCTAACACCCACCTCACGCTCAACATGCCAAGCAAAATGGGTTAGGTACTCAGTTCCAAACCCGGTACTGCCATCAAACAACATGGAGAATGCTGAAAGCATGGGTAGAACCCATCTGAAAAATCTAGCTCAAAAGGAGAGAGTGCCCAACCCACCCTTAAACACAATAAGCCAGTAACTAGTCGATGTGGACAAACATAATATCTAACAATATCATACTTAGGGCTTGCTTGTTTATAAATATGCCAAAAACAAGTACAATCTCAACTCAACACTCCACTATCCTCAATATTATCAATGTAATTAAATAATATCAATTAATCACCCTTGCACATCACATCAACTTTCACTATTCATTCACTAACATAATTTTAACTACTCATCACTTCCAATCATCTACCTCCTACTTTTAGATCAAACTAATTTTAACCATCTTATTTTAAATATTATTTAATATAAACATAAAATCCCACTAACAACTAACCATACCAACTTTTTTAAAATTAACCCTGATTAACCAAAAAAAAGTCAAATATCAATATGTTTGTAAACAAGCAAGCCCGTAGAAATCCTCTAAAACGGAGTGTAACACGGAATCATCATCGGATATGCAATCTTGCAACCATAGTGGGGTCTATCCCCAGCGCAACAAGTAGACGACTAGAATATTTTAAATTGACCTATGAACAATAATACATAATTTTATAAGCTTAAAATAAAATGGAGAATGTAACATGCATGGCATGCACGAGAATAATGAGTAGCAGGCAGTTGCTGAAGGAAAAAACCAATATCTATTGGTACTGGACATGTATGAATAATGAACACGGAATGCCAGAATGATATACACCTATAAAAACAATACAAAGTACTATTAGCAATTACTTAAATCTTGATAGAACTAACTTGCCACTCTTGTTGTTTATTGAGCATTTGCAAGCTCCTTCGTTTAGAAAATCTCTCAGCTATGACACTTTGGGCTGAGGGATCCTCTCGCTCATCAACCCTTCCATCAAGAAACTGAGTCTGGCCTGCATCAGACGTTGATATGGCATCACGCACAAATTTTTCTTTAGTCACAGCCTTTTTCGAAAGGTGGGCAGAAAGATATGAAGCAGCCATCCTCTGCAACCCTAATGGCAATATCACCTGCCAAAAGAATAAAAATACAGAAGTTGGATATCAGAACTGGAAGTCATGATGTTGATTGAGATGTATTATAACCATTTTGTAGCCATGTTTTCATTTCATTGCTAAAAATTTACTTCATAATTACTAAAATAGAAAGAGTGGTCAGTAAAAGATAACAAAATGCTTCAAATATTTATCAGGTACCTCCCTCTGAGGACGCTTGCTATCCAAATCTGATCTATAATTCGGCAGTGGAACTTTGCTAAAAACAACTACTCTCTCATACTGGCGACTGTCCAAAAAAGAGGCTCTTTTAGAAACATTTTGGATAAAGAAAACATGTCTATGTGAGTGGGTTTGATCTCAGTCAAGTACCTGTACAATTCCATCCTAGTTGCAAGTGCAGAAATGTGCTCGAAGTCACGCCGGTCCTTTTTATCTCTTGACACAACCTCTTGCTCATCATTGCGGTGGACGAGTGAGGTCAACTTTCTCCGCCACTCCTCAACGTTATCAAGAGTTGAGTCACTCTGGCAACCATAAACAAGCAGTTTTCAAATGCATGTAGTACATTCAATGCAGTAATGCTTATACTTAACGTAAATAGGACATGAAACCATTAAGGCTTGATTTGATTATGAGACTGTCGAATTATACATATATAGTAAGAATATAATAACAGCCCAAACAGTTTAAGCCTGGAAGAAGAAAAAATAAATAAAGAAAGAAAACTAGAACCGTTTCTGAATTCAACCAATCCACCAACCATCTAAACAGAATGAAAAGAAGAACACAGCTTACCAACTGCTTAGAAGGAGACAGGAAATCACTATCAGACTCTTCCTCCTCCGATACATACTCATCGTATGCAAACCTTCCATACCCAAAATTCTGCTGATAAAAGAGCGGCAGCGAAATCACCGGAGAGGCATTTCTATGGCGCCTAAGCCCCATCGAAGGAAAAGAAGCAAATCTGGAGAAAACCAAGGGTTTCGGACCAGTGTTGCCGTCGGTTTGCGGCGACAAAATATGTAACCGGCGACACGAAGTGTAGATGCCGGGCAGTGATTTTGGCGGGGGCGCCAGGTGGGCCAGAGACATGGCCCTGAGGTTCAGCTTCAAATTGTTGTGGAGGAACATCGTGGAGAAAGGCATGGCTAATGATTGATGAGGTGACTGTGTGTAGTCTGTATTGGAGTTTTGGTTAGGGTTTAAGGGCTGCGGGTAGGGGTTGGTCACTCTCTCTCACTCACTGCTCTATTTTCACTCCGTCTCCATTTTTTGCCGCAATAGCAATAGCCATACCGCTTTGAACCGGAGTCAGTCAATCATGGCCATTGCTAGTTAATCTCGAGTGTGTTTAATTTACTCTCGAAATCTAAATTAACTTTAATTCAACTCTACTATTCTTAATATTATTAATATAATTAATATAGAAATGCTCCCCTACCCACGGTAGGCATATGTTAATATACCCACCGTGTAGTGACATGCACTCATTGGTGATGTTAATATGTTTAAAAAATACATCACCAATGAGTGCATGTCACCTACGCGGTACATCACCAATGAGTGCATGTCACCTACGCGGTTGGCATATTAACATGTGCCCACCGTGGGTATGTGAGCATTTCTCATAATTAATAATATCAATCGATCATTCTTGCACATCAATCATATTTACTTTAATCTAGTATTATTTATTCACTCACATAATTTTAACTAACTATCACTTCACATCATATATTTTAACCCTTTTACATCAAATAAACTTTAGTTATTTTGATTTAATTATTATTTTAATATAAAATCAAAATCTCACTAACAACTAATTATATTATTTTTTAACAAATCAACTCTTGTTAACCAAACACTCATGTTAAGCGAATGTATTTGTGTACAAACACGCCCTAAATATCTCAAGCGAATTCTAATCATGCGAGTTTAGATATTAAAATTTAGTTCAATTTTCTTCAGCCTTTGTAACCATTCCTCTGCAATGTTATCTACCCCCCTCCCCCTCCCACTTTCCCTTCTTCGTGTCGGTTGGTCGTAGCGCCAATGTTGTTGTCGAGGTCGGAGTCCTTTTTCTTGCCCCACCTTCAACCCTTGAAGGAGTTCTAGTTGGGGACGGCTCACACCGCGCTACCCCTCTCTCCGACTAAGGGTGGGGCCGTCGAGTTGCCGTTTCACCTCCAGCCTCGAGTAAGCCCATCGGAGCCCACTTGGCTTCTCGTTCATCGGCTGTTTGTCTGGACGGTGCCTCCCGCTCGACCGCACGCCACTTTGGGTGTTGCCCTCCAAGACCTTGATTTAGGACTCCTCCGGTGTGGCTCGTCATTTCTTCTCCCTAGGCATCCCCACTCCACTGGTATGTGAAGGACAAATTTTGGAGACCTAAGTAAGCCAAGGAGCTCCGTTTTACAAACTCGGTAGTCCAATGACAAATTTTTTGAAACCTCGGAAGGCTGAGGACGATTTTTTGAGGATAATCAGTAGGCATTTTAAGAGACAACTTAGGACATTGGGAGATCTTTTGAATAACACCATGTACCTTGCGAGATAGTGTGTAGGACACCTCGGACCTCAAGAGATAGAGAAACATATTTTTGTTAAGCGACACGTGACTTGATAGAATACAGACACGTGTGCTTTAAAGACTGCTAGTTTTCAAGGTCAGGACTAAGACCAAATCTCAGTTTCAAACCTAACATCTTGAGGAGCTTTAGTTTTAGGCCCAAGGTGTGCTACACTCGTGTACTACGAGCTTGTCAAACTACAGTAATTATTAATCAAACTTGCCACACGTGAGCTATATGAGCTTCTCAGACGATGATATTTTTAGCTCTATCATAAATAAGATTGAATATCAATGCTATCTATCAATTAATTGATAAAAAAAAAAAAGCATTTCCATAAATTTTGTTCTTATTTGATTAGGATATTCAACAATGGGTTAAAGTCGCTGATCGAAAAATTTCCTTTTCTCGATCTTTATTTTTGTAGACGTTCCGAAACTATGATACTTGTACACTATTTAAGCCTTTTTTTTAGACTTGAAATACCGAAAAGTGTAGAACCACTATTGATCCTCTCTATAGAATTAGAGAACCTACACTATTGCTTTTGTCAAATTACATACTACACGAATTTAACAAAACAATAATTTCTAACACATAATACATAAGATTTAATATCTATATTATCCGCAAATTCAAAAAATATCAACACCACAATCCCAATAAAAAAAAAAAAAAAAAAGCAAAATATCAAAGTTTATATGATTGCACTTGGTTTCTGTCAACACCACAATCCCAATTACTTGAGTCGTAAAGGCATACTATTACACATCTTAATTTACATCTTAATCTCACATACTGGATTCTATGATGCAGTTGACTCTTGTGCCACCCAATTTGTATCCATCAAATTGACAGTTGAAAGGACACGGTGCAACATATTTTACAGACTAACCGCATTTAAATGTTAATAGTTGCATCCCACAGCCTTAGCATCCCGTTTCTTCCACCGGAACAAATCCTCTTTCTTTCCAGGTCGGAAGCCACACATCGAACCTGTGAATCCATTAACATCCGAAAAGTAACAATTAATTTAACAACTGCTATTCCAAATACTAACAGTTACATTTCGTCACATAAAAAGGCACGAAATTCCACTTTTTACAACTGCTAATGCCTAACTGACAGAAAACTTTTTGCTTTTGCTAAATGACAGTGGGATAATCTGGTTAGACGTCAAAATGAACTAAAAATAGCATATTATTACAGAACATATGACAGTTATGATCTTCCTACATAGATACATCACAACTCAAATATTTCAAGATCATACAATAGGATTTTAAGTCACCGTTAAGGATTAGCTAAGTGGTACTGGAGCCTCTGCCAGCAGGCAGAGGTCGGGGGGTTCGAATCCCTTTGAATTGCGCGAGTCATAGCCAATTTACAAGGAAAAAAGAAAATAGGATTTTAAACTCATGTGGTAACCTCTCCGTGTTATTAAGCTCAATTCCAATAATGTACCATAAACATTTCTGTCGGTTATCCCTACTGTTGTCATCAAATATTATTGTTTACCAGTAGTTCAAACACATTTAGCAAGCTATATAATTTTTCACAAGATATAGTTTTGTTAATTTAAGTACATTATATAATTATCTAATTAAACTCTAGGTAACATGTAATCACTTAACAATTAGCTCATTTTTCGGGGGAAAAAAGCACAAAAGTTGTTACATACTTAAGTTGGTTGCAAATGTTTCCATGAGGTTTTGCCAATGAGGAACAGGCTCAACAATAATATCTTATTACAAAAGGATGCTGAGGTTTTATAAAAAAAATAAAAGTATCCACTTCACATACATAAACATAATGACCAAACAAGTCCCTCAAGTCCAGTGGTAAAAACAGCAGGACGTTGAGCTTTGTTTAAGGTTATGAAAAAATCTCCAAGGTGAAATAAGACACAAGAGAAGATTTGGGAAGGGAGAGGAAAATTTACACCCAAAAAAACATAATTATGTCAATGTCATTATCAAAATATCGACTTAATGGCTTCAGATCACATAAGGATAATTACATCAGGAAGGAAGGAAAACCTCACCATAGCAACTGCTCGTTGTGGAGTCCTGTAGAGTTGCCACCCGGCCATCTTCGGACCAGCATTTGAAAGTCCACCAAGTCTGTCTTGATTCCGATGGAAGAGAGACATTGAATTATCAGCTGCTCCGATCCCCAACCAGTGTTCTCCCGCATTGATAGACAATATAGGAGCATTATGAATGGTAACATTCTTGACACATCGAATGCCACCTGACAATATGAAACATTTACCAAATAAAATAAAGCTTCACACATCAAAACCCTCAACAATGTGGAGTTAGACCGGGAAGAGAACTCCTATAATTAAAGATTCGCATGAGAAGATCAGTCTAAAGCATAAACTGTTGCTCATTTTATAACGAATACCATTTTGAAATAGATAATTGAGGGGATACAGTGAGGAACAGATTTGAGCTATGCTGAAAAAGATTGAACAACATTCAAACAATTGCTCAGGTCCCAATTTCTTGGTAAGCTGAACAGCTGAACCACAAATGAATAAGATTAACCATATTCTTCAATTTAATCACAATATATTGATCAATGAAAGATTCTTTACTGCAAAAATGAAATGTACAGAGGCCCAAACTTTCTTGGAATGGTGCTGCAGCTAGCCTCTTAACAGTGTTGTTACTACACCCAAAACATGCTGTGGTATACTGTCCCTTTTGGGAGTCAACAAACAGTTCACCTCATATTTATGAAAATTGGAGGGAAAAAGTACTCTATCTCAATGTGATTGAAAGATGAGGTGTACACATACAAACACTTTGTGTATATTCTTGGTATTATTACTTCTCTCATCTGCAAATTATATCATCACCCTTAGATTGATGATATTGCAGATATACCCCCCATTATCTGAACCATTTAAGTCACTAACAGCAAATTACTGATATCTTACCGACTTCTTGAGGCAACTGTTTGAGCTTCAAATTATTAAGTTGAAAATGACTTTACTAACTTGAGGGGGAGTTGATGTGCAGCATAATTACTGAGATTTAACAAGTCAATTGACTAGTGGTTATGGATCAGACATACATTATTCCCTAATCAAGGATATCAATTTGATGTTTTTCAATCTCTGATTTTATCCCCTTTGCTAAATTCTGTTTCTTTGTCCGTTTATGTATTTCCTTGTCAATCGTTCAATCTGGTTTAAAGCTAGAATGATTATTGCAAAAAAACTGTTCTTTCTCATCAACTAACTGTCTGCAGTTAATATTATTTAGTTTTGTACGTGCCGATAATCATAGTAGAACATAATAAGATAATGAAAACAACTCGAGAAACCAAACGGCATCAAAACCCCAGCAACAATTTGCAAAGCAGAAAAATTCGTTCTTATGATAAGCAGTATCCAAAAAGGCTATGTTAGAGTTTTCTAAAGGTCGTGTGAAGTACATGTTAAATTCCGAGGAACATAATATAAATGTGTATGCGTCTGTGTGTGTGTGTGTGTAATATATCACTCTTACGTCTTACCATCATCAGTTTCCCAAAACCGAAGAAGTCCATCATTTGATCCTGAATATAAGACATTATAGTAAAAAGTGAGTGCATTTACAATATACTTGGACAAAAGCAACTACTAACTTGCAATGGCAAACAAAGAACCTACGAGTTGCAAGGACAAAAAAATTTTAACCTGTGATAATCCCTTTATCTGCAATCGAGTATTCCACAGATAAAACTGGACCATCATGGCAAGCTAGAACCGCATCACATGTCCCTTGAGAGACAGACCACATTCGGGCTGTCCAATCATCACTACCTGTTATGACTGTGTCTCCAACCATTCTAATAGACCTGTGTTTTCACTACCATATGTTTTAGTCCTAAGTTGACATGACAATATTTGTTCAAATGACCATGACCCACCTTATCCATTTTGAATGCCCTAAAAGCTTGTGGATCTGCTTTCCAGCCCGAATATCCCAAATGTTCACAGCCCTGAAAATAAATGTGTGAGAAGCCCGGCTCTACCAAAATTAGTATATCTCCAACTGCAGAAGTCGCATGTACTTCTCTTCAAAGTAACATAAAAGAAAAACAAGAGAAGAAATTTAAGTGGCTTACGCATCTCTGCCTCCAGCAGCCAAGATCCCACTAGAGTCATCATATTCCATGCAGAGAACAGCACTTGAAGAACGCCCTACAGTTGCTACACATGTATCTGTTCTTACATCCCACATTTTCACAGTTCCATCATGAGCAGCCGTGAGGACACGCTCTCCTGAGAGCATCCGTACAATACTGACCTAAAGTGTGATAATGCCATAACAATACATCAATCAGATCAGAATATACAATGAGCGGCAAAAAACAGTAACTAGATTATGTTTACATGGTAGTACAAAATATGAAATAAGCTAATATAAAGATGTTTGATCAGTAGATGCAATCCAGAAATTAAAATTAACTGGAAAGAAATATTACAGGTACACGGAACAAGTTCAGGATATTTGAACAGCTAAATCATCAGTAATTTCGTCAAACTGACAATTGCAAAGCTAGGAATAGGCAATTACTGCATCACTAACAGATTCTCCACCTCTACAGCTCTACCTTGTCATTTACTTTGTTTCATAGGTTCAAGATAGAAACTATAATTGACAAAAGAATAGTGCTTCCCTTAAATCTTCTTCAAATCCAATTTTAGAAGCACACATTACATAAATATGAAACTTCAATGATTGACTTAAAGTAGATGCAACAAATACATTAACAGAATTCATTTTGTAGAACTTAGTAAAATTTTACAATTCCTAAGTTTATTTCTGTGGGAGATGCACAAAAATCACGACTGGTACAATTTTATCTTCACCTAGAGTTAAAGTAATTTGGCCAGTAAGGTTAACTATTAAACACCAATATCATATTATACACTAGCTCATTCTACAATTCAAACAAATTATGTAGTTCGCCAAATATGCCTATTTATTTTCTCATATACCACAGTATCATAGGTCAAACTTTCACATGGAAAGTTGGAATAGAGTAAAATGAGTGTAAGCCTCAAAGCAGTGGTGAATAAAATAATGGCCTGTATGTAGTGACGCAGTGGTGGATTTATTATTACTTCCAAGAGTAAGTTCATAGTATAATAGGAATAATATAGACAGAATAAAAGTCCATTCTCAAATGGCTCAGTGACAACACACTAGCATGTTACTTTTCTTTTGCTAAGCTAACTTATTTCTTCAGTCAGCTATATACACACAGAAACAGCTGCAGTCAGTTCAAATACTACATCAACCATTAACTATAGACACAGAATAATCAACCTCCCAGTATGACCAGTCTACACAGAAAAATTTGTATTGGTTTCTAAGGACCAGGTATGTTTGAACTATCCACCAACAGTCCTAGGTCAAATTAAATTCATAGTAGCTTCACCCTGGGTCCTATATCACTAATTACACACCCATGGTAAGGCAAAGAGATAATGAAAAGACCACAGATATTGCGTAATCATTTTTCAAATAGCAACCAAATCAACCGAGGGACGCAGCATCAATCATTTCCAGAATTAAAAAGAAGTTATCCAATCAGGAGTAGAAGGTGTACTGCTAAGTATGAGGCCCACTAAAACTTATGAAGCCACTTAAACATATTCCTTCACATTCAAATCGAGACATTGCATGTATCAAATCAGAGTAGCAAACTAGAGCGAGTAGACCCATTCAAACCACAAACTGAAGCATTCAAGGGTATAACTGAAAAACAAAAGGAAATATAAATCAGTCCATAACAGGACTAGAATGCACTAAGTTGTGTTAAAACCCAATCGCAATGCAAGCTGCATTTCTTGGAGCAGCTTTGCGCCACTGGGCAGAAAATAAGTACGCACAGGAAATATGATGTGGAATAGATAGATGCTTCCAAACTACAAAGGAAATACAAGTTTAATCAAAGAACGTCCTTGTCTAGAATCTTTACCACAGAATTGCAAAAGGTGTCCATCTAATTTCCCCTTACAACAAACAGTTCATCAGCTGTTGAACTGAATTTCTCACCCTACTATAATGATCATGTGTTATGGTATATACATAATCAGACAGAGGTGCAAGAAAGGGCTTGCCAACTTTTCAATTAGAACTGAAATCTAAAAAACAAACATGATACATTCAACACACACAAGAACAGAATTCCAAAGGTGAAACATAACCGTGATGCCACAACCAAACCTGAGCTTCATGACCCTTCAGCTCTTCTAGAAGCTGAGTCGTCTGTTTATCCCACACAAGTACAGATTGATCATCTGATCCAGATACGACCTTTCCTCTATCAGAGCTTATAGCACGAACAGTTCTGCAAAGAGAAAAATAAAAGGTAGAAATCAATTAATCGGAAGCCTTCAAATGCTTCTACAAGTAGACACATGATGGATCACAGGTAACGATATAAGATCAGATTCTTAGGATGTTTGTTAAAAAAGACGAAAATTAACACACACATACGCGCACGCGCACAGAGAAGGGGGTGTTGTTTCTTTATGTACCTAGTGTGCCCCTTAAGTGTCGCCCTGAGTTCAGATCCACGAAGACTAGGGTCCCATATCTTCACCTGCATTTAATAAAATGACACCAAACATGGTAAAAGGTCAAGACAATATTAGCAATGCTTTAAGAGGTGAAACACTTCATGTCTTTGGACAGGACAACAAGCCCCAAGCTATAAGTCCTATCCCCAGTTAGCTTTCAGAAATTTCACTACACCTAAAAGTATAAAATCATTATTATGTGAAAAAAAACACCAAAGCAAAACGCTTATTAACCTGCTCGGTAGAAGATTGTAAAGGAAAATTGCAGATAGATAGTACTTCGCATAATGAATTAGAAGGTTCAAATTATTCAGCTCCAATCATTAAAATTTAGCTGGAGAGAAATCACAAACCTAAGGGCATGGTCAATATGTTTCGTTTCTGCTCAATTAGACTTTTCTCACAAAATAATTTTTTAATAATTTTCTCACAAACCAAGGAAGTAAGGCCTCCCTCCCCCACATAAAATCTATATCTGCAATATCCTCAATAGTTCACTATTCTTTCATTTCCATTTTCTCTCACCAGTCACTTCCAATACTTCCCCAAATAAATCATCAAGTCACTAATTATTACAACACATTTACACAAATTTTTAATAATGACTAATGTGCAAATGCTCATATATTTTTAACTACCTATCATCATTTATTTACTTTTTGTGTCAAATTAGTTCCAACATTACAATTTAATCTCACCTCCATTCACTCTCAATAATTATCATTCTCATTTCAGAAAAAAAAAAAAGAAAAAAGAAAATCAAAAACAAAAACTCTCCAATATTCTCTAGCTGATAAATGAGTCTGGGTAGAACTCATCCCCAAAAGCTAACTCAAAGGGGGAAGGGCTCCAACCCAAATTTATGCACAATAACAAAAAAGTGACTTAGTGATGCACGACAAACATAATTTCTAACACTACCCAAACAAATATTCAAAATGAAGCCATTTCCAGTCACACCCAAAATGTTGCGATAAGCAGTGATTTGTAGAAGATCTGAAAATTCTCTATGAAATATTTAACTTTGAGGAAATGTGTATAAAATTAGAATTGTCAAATCGAAAAAGAAATTTTGTGACAGTGACTAAGAGGCCTCAGAACACATGGAGTATAGCCTGTGTGTGCCACTCCAGAATTTTCCCCAGGACCACCTCAAGAAAGTTTATAACCAGTTCTTCCTGGTGGTGTTTAAAAGGTGGCATTTAGAATTTTATAATTTGTCAGAAAGATCTCAGGTGAGCTCTTCAGAACAGAAAATGGTACCCAGCACGCCAAAGAAACAACAAAAGGAGCATAGCCTCCGCTTTCTCCAAAAGGTCCAAAGATAAGCTTTTGATATATATTTAATCTTACCGTGCAGTCTGTACTTCCGCTGATGAAAAATCCTGCATCTTCACGATCACCAACTAGATCCCAAACTTCTCTCTTGGTCACACAATGTAAAGCAGTAACTGCACCACTATGACCTCTTAACAAGCGGATATTGGTCTGAACCTTCTTCTGCCCTGCTGCAGATACATCTTGCTTCTGCAGAGATCCATTCTCATCTGTAGTTGATTAAGCAATATTTATCATCCTGTCAGAACAGTACAAAAATTATGCTAAGCTGTTCTATGTTAAAGAAGGTTCATGTACCTAATGTGCCACTATCAGAAGTCCACTTACGGACCCGACTAAAGGAGCTGGCCCTGTCCCGGCTAAACATGCTCTGAACCCAGCTCCTTCCAACAACAGATGCCTCAGAAGACTGCTGAGGGCTATCGGAAACATCCTGAGGACGTGGAGAAGGCAGCCCAAAAGCGGATACAGACTGAGATTTTCCAGAATGGATTCCCCAATATCCGATGCAAATTTGTCTGATATGCGATAGGAATCCCCTGATCTTAATCTGAAAACAGATTTAAAAAATTCAATAAATTATTATACAGTGCAGTATCCTAAACATATGAGCCATATGGAAAAAATTACTTATAGTAACATCACATCACTACGCAATTCATGGAGCATATCAAGACCACTACAGACATGCACATAACTATGATGCATATCAAGTTGAAAATTTCCAGACACCAAAAAACCAGCAATCTCTCCATTTCATCCAAATTGTTGGACTGGCCCAAGTAATGGTCTCAAACACAAGTACGGCACCAGGGGTCTATAAATGGAACTATTTCCAAAGTAACACAATATTAGACATGGATAAATGAAACATCATTCATACCCCCAATAAGCCAACAATAAAACCTCACATTTATTTTTCAAAAAACATTGAAATGAACAAATGCATTATAATAATTCTGATAAAATGATCGGAAGGAACATCAGCTTTCCTGCGAGTTATTATTTGGATCAAGTCAATGACTAGTATCAGGTGTCAAAAGACTTGTGATAGTTCAAATTTCAGAAACATGATAGGATAAATGGTTGGAACAAATTGGACTTATGATGAAAAAGGACATGTGGGAAATAAAGGTAAAGAAATTTTTGAAATTTCACTAGTGTACAAATCTTCTTGTTTCCTTACGCTTGTTTCGACAGACACAAGTACAGCAAGACATCTTAAAAGGTTGCATAGAATGTGAATTCCATATGGAATGTAGTTGCATCATTTGATACCTCTAGTTTACATTGGGATCTTCCAAGGATATTAAACTATACAGATCCACTAGTAGCTATAAGCATATCTGGTAGAGCTAAAAAACCGCCTACAATTTATGATCAAACTTAAAATTAACTCCAACCCTTTTTTCATAATTAAATGAATCAAAATTAACCAGCTTTAGTAGATCCAAACACATCTTCGTTTAGCCTTGTAGGGATCACTATTCACCTTACACAGATCAATATTCTTGAGCTTATCAAGATGAGGCTGAGAGCTGAGTTCAGATTCAAAGTTTAAAAACAAACTATGTTTAGCTTGGTCTGTTAAGTTTAAGAGGCCAAGCTAGAATAAACAAATAGTGATCTCAAAACTAATTTATCTAATATTTTGTTAGATATCAATTTGTATTTCATTAATTCAACAATTGAGCATTTGGCCCATTTGCTTAGAATATTCATTAGGATTATATCTAGGGCTAGGACTCTATTTAAGTAGACAATTGGTTGATACCTAGGGTTGTCCTCTGTTAAATAGGATTGTCAGCTTTAATCTTGAGCAGGAAGTTTCTTCCTGAAGTATCGGCCCTAGGCCGTCCAGGATTTGTCCAGAGTTGTTCTCGGTCATTTTCTTAATTAATAATATCAATATTTATTATTTTCATTTGTTTCCACCATTAACTCTATCAATTGGTCCAACCTTCTGCTCCGTCACTCATTATATGTGTTAGAAATTATGTGTGTCTCACATCGATTAGTTACTGGTTGTGGGATGTTATTGCATATAAGTTAGTTTGGGCACCCTCTCCCTTAGAGCTACCCAGACCCATTTATCATGGTATCTGAGCACCCAGATTTGTATGTTTGAAAGCGATGTTGGGTTTCGATCCAACCCATTTGGTTTAGCACAATGCGTGTTAGGGCGGTTGTTAGAAGTTATGTTTGTCACACATCGATTAGCTATTAGGTTGTTATTGTGTGTATATGTGTTGCTTAGGCACCCTCTCCCTTTGAGCTAAAAGATGGGATCTACTAAGGCCCATTTATCAGAGTGCAAAAAAAAGGATGGACGACTGTTTAGAGGCTAGAAAACATATGGAGATGATAGAGAAGGGTCTTGCTGGAGATGATGGAGAAGGGTCTTGAAGACTTGCGCAGAAGTTACGCAGGTAAAGTTGAGTTAAAGTTGAGTTCATTACTAGATACTAACAGGAAAGGTTTCTAATGTACCTGACTATTAAAGGCTTGTAGGAGGAAATAAAATCAATTCCTCATGATCAGGATCCCTATCTACAACACGGTCGATTAGCAAAAGCATGCAAAGCATAGTTTTAAATGGCGAGGCAAGGGGATATTACCAGGCCACGAGTCTCGAGTCAAGGCCTCGGACACAAGACAGCAAAGCATAAAAAAAGTAGAATATAGATAATGCAATTAAATATTTAAGTTTAAATAGCAAAAACAGCCTCAAATATCATAAGAAACATAATATCAAAGTAAAATTAGAACAATAAACATAAACTAAACATATAAAATAATATAAACGAAATTAAAATGCAAAAAATACAACATGGGGACAGAAAAATAAAACAAATAAAATAGAGGATCAGAAAACGAAAATGAAAATACAAAGTTATGAAAAAACAGAAATTTGAAAAAGGAAAAAGAAAAAGGATGAAAAGCAGCCAGTAAGCCACCAAAATTGACTTTTAAGTTGAAGTCATACAAAAAGAAAAGAAAAAGAAACATAAAGCCAAAAAGTAAAAAGAAATGAAAAGTCTGCGGTTGTAGTCTCACATGGCAGCAACACATACATGGGGGCTGCGGCAGCAAGATAGTGGCCAGGACAGAAATGGAGTGGGTTGACCATTTGTCACTCCAATTTTCAGATCTAAGTATGTAATTTAACCTAATTTCAAAATATCTAGGTGTCTCTCTCTCTCTCTCTTTTTTTTCTTTTGGGAAGGCGCAGGCCGAGGCAATGTTGCGTCCGCCTTCTCCATAATGTCTCCATTTAAAACTATAATACCAAGATTCTGTTTGTGACTATAACACGCAGTTGAAGCAGGACAGAGAGGAGTATTTACAAACCAAAACTGATATCCTTGCAATAACAACATTTTATCATTCACTAAGGCAATTCAGCAGCAAAATAGCACAATATGTTACAGTATGTAGCTGTTCCAGATTTACAAAAGCAGAAACATGTGGAAAAAACCATACTTAGACCCGAAACCATTGAACTATATACCGACTTACTAATGAATGCTTCATATAAAGTTAGACCTTGGGAAATATACATTCGAGTCCCGAGGATACTCAACTAAGAAAGAATCCTCTGTTTTTAAATTTACTATTAACCTAAAGCCTATACATTCTTGCATAACCATTTAACACGTGCATTAAAATAAATGTCTTTACAGATATTCAGCAAATAATGATGCTTCTATGCTTTTGAGTTTTTATACATACAATAGCTGAAGTCACAATTAACTCAAAAAGGTGAAACTAAAGTCACGACAGCTGGTTGGGTTGTCCACAAACTTGGTGGAGTTTGGACTGACAGAATCATATATCTTCACAAGATACAGATTTCTTAATTTGCTACCAAACATTGGAAGAAACAGGAATGGTTTGTTTCATTTGGGTGTTATGCAGAAAGTGCCTTGGGTTCGCATATTAAGGAGAACGACTTCTTGTTTATTCTCATTTTGAAAATGTGTTTTATATGTATCGACTAGCGTCGTTCATGCATACTGAAGAGAAAAAATACCGTTCTGCAGATGCGTTGTAATATTTGGTTTTATTTTAATTTTAATCACATAAAACCAAAAATAGCAGGCCAACTCCAGCTATTGATATGTAATATGTCTACAGATCAATGTAACAAGGCCACGTAATAAAATGATTTATGCAACTCACAATGTACATTAAGCTATTGTCATATGTCCACAGATCAATGTAACAAGGCCACTAAATAAAATGATTAATGTAACTTACAATGTGCTTATATCCAATATTGTTCTTTCCGGCGATCGTTTCAATCATGTACCATGCATCGGTGTCGGGAAGTCCCAAACCAGCCTCCACAACAATGAAAGAAGAGCATTTGACAATTGAGCACGAAAACAAAAGGATGAAGGTGAGATAATAATGAAACAATGATTGAAAGTAGATAAAAGAAGTACCATATGTGTCGCTACAATTATCAGCTGTGTTGTCACCAGTGTCGCATAATTGGTTGATCTAGCATAATAATATTGTAAAGGAAAAACTGATAAGTGACAGTGCATGCCTTTGGCTTTCAATATTTTTGTTCTAGACTTATCATCAGATGACTATTCGTACACCAAGAAAGCAAAAGGGATCACAACCAATTACTCTATTTATCGACTTCTGACATTAACGGTTAAGACAAAGACAATAAATACTATTGTCATTTCAACAAACTAGAACTCCTTCTCCCTATGTGCTTATATTAGGGGCCTCCCCTTTTAAGCACCAACTGAGGCAAATACAGCAAAGAAAATGAATTCCAAATTGTGATAAGGCACTTGAACGAGCACCCTAGAGAATAGCTCAAAAACAGAATCATCAGAAAATAGGATATCAAGTATCAACTCGAACAGAAAAAATCACCTAAAGAAATGACCTGATGAGTTAGAAAGGCAAAATAGTGTCATTCACATTTATTCAAATAAAATGGATAACTGAAATGTTTGCATCCTTACTTGCTGGAGAAGCGGTCAAGCAAATAGTCGAAGTACCCTTCCCAAAAGCTGCAATACAGATTAATCAAAAACTATTACAACGTACGCATAGCCGCATACTAATCTTAGGAGTGTAGTTTCAAATACCCTTATTGTGCACTTTCTTTAATAGTTAATGGCAGGGTGGAGAGAGATAACAAATACGAAAAAAACTAAGAGGTCCACGGTTCAACGTCTAATGGTGCAGATTCCTTCCTTCCCTTAGAAACATAAACTTACTTTTTCATTTATTCTGATAGAATGATTAAGATTGGTAGAAAAAGGATATATTTATTTGGATCGTAGCCATTAAGTTGCTTTGTGAACTATGACTGATGAATCATGGCAGGACTCTGAGGATTATTTTAACTGCATTGTGGTTGAATATGACAACACAAAAAAGTTGCATTCCCGTAATTTAGTTGCACAATAAAAATAGTTGCATTCTCTTATCAATAAATGGTGCAGTATTTGTTCTGTAACTCTGCCGGGAGAATAAGAGTATTGCGCAACACAAAGGACTCCATCCAATTGAGTTACATTAATTCTTGTATGTCTTTTACATAGAAAAATAGCCGCTCCAACGTGCCTTTCAGGCTTTCATATATGAAATGATGCACAATATCATTCACATGGGCACTTCCAAACTGTTCTAAATTCCCAATTTCATCAAGAACTAGAGACCTCATTAACAAAACAAGACGTAGAACCCAAAGCATGTCGCAGAAAGTTGATCCATATGCCAAAAAGTAAAGCGGATGTGTCAAAGGTAGCAATGGAAGGGATGAAAAGCCTGATAAGACAAAAGAACACATGCATACCGTAACTCATCCCAGATGGAAAGAGAACGTAGGTGGCGCTGAACATAATCTGGGACATTGTTCACATCCTTTTTGTGCATTTCAGCTGATACTTCAAGGGCATCTCTAATCGTTGGCATGTCATTCCGAGCAGTAGCACGGCTGATTGCAGTCTTCAGCTGTGTGAATTAAAAATAAATTAATAAACTATGTATACCCAAATTATAGATGCTTAACTTCAAGGCGAACTATGTATTTTACAAATAATTTGTCACTGGCAATTTGGTTTCATTTGAACCCAAAAAAATAAAAATCCACACGTAAAACTCCATTTGAGGTTGATTATATCAAGAGCCTCAACTTTGCATATTTTCAAGACCAAGGTAATGCTTTCAGAACCCTCAAATAACCTTCAGAACCCTCAAATAACCATCAATACATTATTCAATAAAGCACTCTATAATTAATTTATGTATTGTTTCCTGCTCATTTCTTACTTTTAGAATAGCTTATAATTGATAATTCCAGTTAACCATAAAATTTGGAAACATGATAATTGAATTTAGATTTATATAATAATGAACTTTCCAAACCTATGTGTGAACATTAATCATCATTGTAAGTAATGCTTCGATTTATTTTTAAAAAACATAAAACTTTTGGGTTCTTTATTCTTGATGCGTGTGTGTGTGTGTGTGTATATGTATGTACATATATATCAAATTGGTCATATTTGTACATACAGTATCAAATTAGTCAAAAGCTTCTGTATGAATATTGATACCTGTACATATATAGTCGTATTATTTTTGTTATATCAATAAAGTTTAGAGTAATCTGAGATTAAGATAATCAATCAAACCAACAGCACAAAATTCCATAAACTAATGTATAAATTTGGAAACATGATAATTGAATTTAGCATCATATAATAATGAACTTTCCAAACCAATGCGTGCACTGAATTAATCATCGTAATAATGCCGGATGCACATTTAAAAGAACAATAAGAATAATTTTCGTATGTTTTATTAGTTATGTGTGTGTATGTGCGTAAAATTGGTAACATTTGCACCTATAACAATGTTCTAAAAATCAGTCTAGGTGTATGGGCAAGGCGGCACCTAGGCGCCTCAATTTTCGCCTAGGTAGCCATTCTAGGCGCTTGGGCAACTAGGCGGTCCAGGTGGTTGCAAAGTTAGTTGACTGGCGAAGCGGTCTAGGCGGCAACCTATGCTTTCAGGCGCCCATATAATTTTTTATATTTTTAATTTATTTTTCATATATATTAAAATAAACTTTGGCTTTTATACATGAAATGTACAATAATTATAGATATAAAAAAAAAAACTATCAAGTAAACTTAATATTATAATTATTAATATATAAAAATTTTAAAAAGCTTCGTATTTAACAAGACTAATTAGTATATTTTATAAAATGGATTTTATGAGCTACATGATTATAAATATAAATAAATTTATTAATATTTAATGACTTCATCTAGGCACCGTCTAATTCCCGACCAAGCGCGCTAGGCACTAGGCCCCAGTGAGCCGCCTAGCGCCTTTTCGAACCTCGACATATAGCATATCAAATTAGTCAAAAGTTTCTGTTTCAATATTGATACCACATGCATACATAAAAATACTATATTATATTGTTATATCAATAAAGTTTATACAGTAAGATAATCAATCAAACCATCACCACAAAAGGCCATAAACTAATTATAAATAAAAATAAATGAATGGGTCAATAGCAAACAATCATATCCATACTAAAGAAAATCAAATATATCAATATTATATGCATTCTTATATTAAAATATATGTAAATTAAAAAATATATATAGGCATTTAAGATAATCAAATACATCAATATTATATGCATTCTTATATTAAAATATAAGTAAATTAAAAAATATATATAAGCAAATGCCGTATCACGAAGTTATGTCAATCTTGAACATATCTGAAAGTGTGTCAATAATTAACCAAATTTATGAAATCATGCACAATAAAATGAAAACACAAAAACAAAAATAAAATGAAAAATAGAAAAAAAAATAAAAAAATAACAATCTCTCCTATATATAAACTCGGAATCTCAAACCTAAGTGTCAACTCTGGCGATTCATTCATGTGTCAATTTATAGTGTTTCAAAGTTTGAACTTTTATTCATGCTTATTAGGACTCTTAAATATATAACATACCTGGCCAACGTGAATTATAAATACATATTGAAATTTAATAACTTATTATTTCATTTCAATTTTCCGTATATGATATATATATTTATCATGTTTTTACTATTTTCTATTAACATCCATATTAAATATATAAGTAAAAATTATTTTTTTATATAAATAATAATAAGTTATTTAGCAATAACAATGCGAAAATAATAGAACTATTATTAGCTAGTCAAAATACATTTAACTATGATGGTCTATTGCATGATATGAACTGAAAATTTCAATAGTATAAGACGGGTGTCATATAAAATTAAATAAATAAAATATGCAAGTTTTTAAAAAAAAAGTATTTGAAACTTTAAATAAATGATTTGTAATTTTCGTATTTGATAAATTATACATTAATTTACTCAATTTTTAATTTTTAGAATATATGTTATGTGAATCTTGATTTACTGTTATGACCAATAGTTCACATTGTGTTACGATCCATTAATTCGTTTTAACATCATATATTTTGCCTTCAGAATGGTTGTTTATAGTCATTTTTATATTTGAATGTGATTGATATCTTTTGTGCATGGAATAGTTAGTTAAAAACCTTTTTTTATATTTAAAGGTAAATTGTCAAAAGAAATATGTGATATAGTAACTATAATTGTTCAAATAAAATAGGAAGATAAATTTCTTAAAAGAAACAAAAAAAAAGGAAAAAGATAATAAGGTAGTGTATGTGATAAAATAGTGAATAAATTTTCACGCAAATATAA